TGTTCCGGTAGTAGTCCAGTTCCAGCTAGGTGTTCCGGTAGTAGTCCAGTTCCAGTTTGGTGTTGTGGTAGTAGTCCAGTTCCAGCTAGGGGTAGACTCATTCCAGCCAGGAGTCGTCCAGTTCCAGCTTGGTGTTCCAGGAGTAGTCCAGTTCCAGCTTGGTGTTCCAGGAGTCGTCCAGTTCCAGCTTGGTGTTCCAGGAGTCGTCCAGTTCCAGCTAGGTGTTCCAGGAGTAGTCCAGTTCCAATTAGGCGGGGTAGGAGTAGTCCAGTTCCAGCTGGGTGGAGTGGGAGTAGTCAAATTCCATTGAGGACCATCAGTCGTCTGATTCCAGCTGGGCGTGCTTGAGTTCCAAGAGGGTGCAAAGGCACTTCCAATGCAATATTCAAGGAGTCCGAATGACCTTTCGAGTGCATGCAGAGTTTTGCTGATTTCATGCATGACACAGCGTTCCGTCAGCCAGAATTGCTTCAGCATGGGACGCACACCGGCAAACAGATTCATGACCTAAATTAAAGAGCCTTTGATTAGTAACCCTGCTCGTTTGCTTGTTTATTTCCCTTGCTGTCTCACCGAATCCGTGTAGCATTTGCGCGTGCTGCACCCGGCCAGCTGCTGCTGGAAGGCAGCCCTCACTCCAGCGGAGCTCGGCTGTTGCAAATAGCTCTGCATTTGGGTTTGATTCACATTGCCGCACTGACGCAGCTTGTTGCCCGCATTCATTAATATCTCCACATTTCTGACCGTAAAATTGGCCGTACATTGATCCAAATCATTGAGTATACCGAATTGGGGCAATTCAAGATCTCCAACGATGGCATCGAACAGCTCATTTGATAGGCTCGATTGAATGGGCTCAGATGTCTATAAATCAAGAGAGGTTTTGATGAGCAGAGTTCGGAAGTTTTAGTTTCTGTGTCCTATGGAACTAATAGATCTTAATTGGAATATGAATAGCTTATAACTTATATATCATATTTCCAGTAGTCTCTACTTAGACTCTATTGGGTGATTTCTTCTCGTTACTCTTTAATCTATTATTATATAATACCTTTTCGCTTTATTTATAGATCACTTCACAGACTTATCAACAACATCTTTAAGCACTCCATAGATATGAAATTTAATTATTTTCAAATTAATAATTTTTAAAAATATTTTGCATTGACAAATTTAGAACTCAGATATGATAGAGTGAATCATTAATAGATATATTTAATCTTTGTGTAACTTTCTACATACCGTTGCGCTGAATAACAGTGCGAATAGCACAATAATTTTGCAGAGAACCTCCATGTTGAGGGCTTCGTTCGTTAATGAGTTGGTCACTGGGTCTGGCCAAGCATTTTAAATCAAAAACACGATGACGATTTCAACTTTCTATTGTTGTCTTTGGCCTTATCGCTATTGCCTCTATGAAAAAATCACAGCCAACGAAGTAATTTTTGGCAAGGTTTCCGCTAACATGATAAGGCCACAAGACCCTTGATTGATAATTACATTTATCTAGACATACATATATATATTTATATAAATATGACTATTTTAATATTTGTGAATAATTCGCAGACTGAAATTCTGCTAGCTCTGATTGCCTAAAGCACTTGACAAAGTCTTTTGACAGCTGCTATAAATTGTTATTGCTTTATGGGAGCCATTGACTTGTGGCTAATTAGATCTTGACTTTCGATAACGGCATATTGAGGAGGTCAAGTAATATATATTGAATATTAAAGCTCTTTATTCTGCGGCAATAAAACTGAAGTTGTTGCCATAAATTCTATAGCTCACACGGCCACGGACTGCTGAGCGAACTGCTGCTCGGGCTGCTGCTCGAATGGCTGCACAGGTTTCTGTTCCACTTGTTGCTCTGGTTGCTGCTGAAGCTGCTTCTGCTCCGGCTGCTGCTCCTCCAGCTGGGCGGGCAGCTCACGCTGATGCGACACCTTGATCATGCAGTTATCAAAGTCGTTGGCTGCCTCAATGGACTTCACCTTCGATTCGCCGACGGCGGCGCGTATGCAGCTGGAGCGCTGAGTCTCCACCACAGAGGCATTCGAAACAAACTGCGATTGGGTCTGATAAGCCAAGGTGTTGCAGCTATCTAGCAGCTCCAGATTCTTATCCAGCTAAGCAGATATTAAAGAGATATTAGTTATATATAAATGTATATATAATTTGGGGCATGCACTTACTGTAGCCACGGTGCAGTTGATGAAGCGCTGGCTGTCCGTCTCATTCAGGCACCTTTGCAGGTTCTTCTGCAGCTCGATTTGCTGGCTGCGTATGGTGTTGACGGTGGCATTGCTGTGCTGGATATTCTCCTTGACGGTGCGATTGGCGGCATCCTCGCACTTGGTGGTTTTGCTGGCCAAATCCGCGCCGATCTTGCTGGTCGCATTGGTATACCGATTGAAGCAGGCCGCCTCACCAGCCGACGCAAGGGCGCGCGGCTGAGCTAGCGGCACGCCCAGCTGTGTCATCACCATGCGAAGCAGAGTCGTCTCGTCGGCCGAGCGGGGCCAGGCGCTGGCCTGCAATGGAGCCAATAGTAAAAGTTCAATAGTAATTAAATGAAAATTGTCCGTTTACTTACGCCCAGCACTGTGACGGCGAGCAGTAGAATGCGTGTAAACAATTTCATCTTATTCCAGTTGCTTTCTCGAGTGCTAACTAATTGCTCATCTCAATGTCTCAGTTGCTTTTATAGCTGACTAAATGCTGCAGCAATATCTTCTGATTTCTCGCTCTTTGTATCGTTTTTGCTCCTCTTTTTTTGTTTTTGCAACATTCGATTAGATAGGGGAAATGTACAAGACAATTGGCAGGCTTAATTGGCTTCTGTGCAGTTTTAATACAAGTGGGAACAACCCTTTGCAGTGATATCTTGGCCGAGGTTATTGTGTAAAGCGCCAGCTATGATAAATTGGCCCCCAAAGAAAAACACACACACACACACATACAGTTAGACATACACTAATAATCAATGTTCATGTCCCATTAGTTGCTGCCTTATCAGACAGCTTCAGAACGGTGTCTTGATGTCTGCATTCTTATCGTACCTCAAATATGATATAAGAGCTTATTTTTAAATTGTATATATATATATATATATACATAAACCCCGACTGAATCATTGGGGCACTTGTAAAACCAATTTGTAATCAAATCGAATGCAAGTCTCTTGACACACGCGTCTTAATTGAATCGCTGCTTAATTCTCGAGTACCTCGCCGATAGTATCGTATGATTTCCCCATTGCTCGCTCACACGTTTATCTGGCAAACGTCATGATGAAAGCCTATCTGGGTATTTTCTCAGAAGTAATAGGGGTATCGGCCCATGCCATCATCGGCAATAAAATTTTTTAATCAGTTCATGATAATGTGCAGAGCATTTCCATATAATTCCCTTATCGTTGCCTCCACTTATTTTTTCCTCGGTCAGTTGTTATTCATTTTGAGTAAATTATGAATGGTAAAACACATTACGTTTTGGTTTTTTAAAGGTCTTAAGCACTCGTGTACTGAACTTTATTTATTTACTTTTACAAGACAATAATTGCGACGTTATCGGAGGGCTTTGAGAGATAGCAATTTCTATTAATATATTGGATATTGTTAATAGTTTTTTGTTTTGTTTTTTAATTAATGGCATTTGTAGATATAAATGTTTATATATATTTTTTTTAATTAGTTAAAATTTATTTTGTTTTTTTTTTCGCTATTTAATATTACTCATTTCGAGCTAGAACAAGAAAGTAATTAAACACAAATTCATAAAAAAATTATAATGATACATCATTCGCAGCCTTTGTCTAGCTTCTTTAGAAAGTAAAAAACAATTGCCTCAGTTACCTGCAGTACATTGAAAATGTCAATGAAACCAATTTTGTTGTGCGATATAAATTTGATGGATTGAATGAGAAAATCAGATAAAGCAACACTACTTTCTAGCGTGGCCCAAAGAAAAATATGCAGAGAGCCTACAGAAGTCGACTGTGGAATGTTCTGGTAGAGTATTAAACAAAATACGAAAAAAGTAATTAAAAATGGCTAAAGAGAGTTTTGTATCTGTCGTATTAATATTAGAAAAGTTTACTAGGTCATAATTCAATAAGAAATATAACGAAATAATTTATTAAAATTAAAATGAAAATACTAATTATTATTATGATTCTGAAAAAGTTAATTAATTATTAAAATAAAAATATGTATTTTTTTAACAGTTTATTAATTTATATTTATAATAAAAAATAAATAAATAGATAACTCAGACATTTGATATATTTACACAAATATTAAAGATTTATGTTGACTACAAATAACAAAATAGTTATTAATTAAATACTTAAATTACACATATTATTCGCTTAGAATTTTTTTTAGTATTATTTATAAATTCTTAATATTTTTGTTAATCTGTTATAAAAATATATTATATATTTAAATGATTATTTAACTTATCATATTATTTATTTATAATCAACATATTAGATTCTTGCTTCTTTATTATGTATTCTTCAGCTACAATAATTTTCTATATATGAGTTGGCAGATTTATTTTTAATATCTTCACATCATGCTTCAAAATGCTAGAAGAAGTTGATTCATTACATACAAAACTCATATACACAGCCTTAGGATTCCAGGAAATCCCTATAGGAGTAAGAGCTCTTCATGGAAGTGAAGTTAAGTCAGCCATTGTCTCACACTCTGCCACATGTTGTTCTTGTTGGCTGTTGGTCAATAAATTTTGGTAGCTCATTAGAGGCGTAATACAGGTAGTCTGGCAAGACCTGCAGTCAGCTGGCAGTCAATTGGCAAACAATCAGGTTGAAATTCAATTCATTTATCAAAAATGGTCTGAGGTGCGCGCGCTGACTGGAAATCAGTGCCAAGAGTTTTCATGTGAGAAAAGCTGGCAAAACAAATTTTGAAAAGTGGCTGAAATTCACAGTTGCCAACAAATTTATCACAACAAGCCAGCAGCACACACACACACACATGCACATGCACACATGCACAATGAGCGTATGTAGATGTGCGTTGTGTCTCATATATCATGCGACAGGGCAAACAAGATTTATAAGGTAAAACATGCTGCGAGCAACTCTAGAGAAATAACGTCAACATCTCGCGGCTTAAAAAGAAAATGTACCCCTTGTTGTTGTTGTTGTTGTAGTTGTTGTTCTTTTTGCTTATGTTTGGGCGCACAACTCGAACGATTAATCAAAAAAGTATAAAGTGCAGGCGGGCAATGCCTGCAACTTTTTGTGAAGGTGTGTGGAGGCAGTGGGCGTGGCAGCTGCTGCTAATGGCACAAAAGCTGTGGCAAACCACAACGCGGCCTCTGGAGAGGGTGATAAAGGCAGAGAGGGATACTGAGAGGGAGAGATAGAAGGAGCGATAGACAGAGAGAAAGGGGCAGCTCACGTGCTAATCATACAATATTCATAGAGCAAAAGAGGGCTTATTAGTTTTTTGAAAAAATTTAATTAAATATTTAAAAGGAGAGAAAAATATATAGTGAGAAAGAGAGAGGGAGAGATAGTGAGAGTAAGGGAGAGAGAGTAAGGAAACGAATGAGAATTAGAGTCAGAGAACATGTGAAAATGTGAAGGAGACGGTGACACAGAAAGTGAGAGTGAGGAATGAGAGAGAAGGTGAAGGAGGTAGAGGAAGACCAAGAGAAACAGAGGGAGGAGAGATAGATAGAGACAGGTAGAGAGAGAGAGAGAGAGTTAGATAGATAGAGGGAGATATGGTCATTAGGCAGAAGAAAAAAAATAAAAATAATAATAATAAAATAAATAATAATTAAAACTGCGAACAAATTGATTTTTAGTGAGAAGGTATGTTAAAGAGAAATACAGTGGCCGTAGAAAGAGACAGAGATAGTCAAAGTGCGACACGAATTGACAGAGAAATGTTGGTTAGAAAGGGCAACAGATATTGTGAGAGTGAGAGAGAGAGAGAGAGAGTGCAGCTTGTCGGTTGTAGACGGTTGTAGAAATAGAATAGCTATTGTAGGGAGAAATGAAAACAGACAGAAACAATATCAGTAAAAATAAGAAAGAGCTTACTAAGACAACAAAAACACATTAGCAGCCAAAATAGAAAGAGAGAAGGAGAGAGAGAGAGAGATAAAGAGGTAACAGTCATATAAAAAATAAATAAATAAAAAAAAAATTAGTTCAAATTAGTTCTAGTTATATATAGACAAAGTGAGATATAAAATGTAGCCATTGTAGAGCATCACACAGTCGACTGCAAGGTGGGATGCAACAGATTTCGCCAATGTTGGCTAATTTAAATGTTGGCTGACATCTTCGTTCAGTTTGGCTGTGCTGCAAAGCCAAGTGCACGTCCTTAGCGCTGAGCCGTCAGCGCGTCAAGTGTGACAGCTGCTCGGCTGAATGCTGTATGTTGTATGTTGTATGTTGTATACAGCTGTGTGTGCTGCGTGTGCTGTTGTTTGTTTGCTTGCTTGCTTGTTTCTCAATGGTCTGGCACTTTTAATGACACCATTGTCACCTTGGCCAACCCCAAAATGTGAAATGAGCCCAGCTCGTGCGCGCCTTTGCTCATTTGTTGTTTGCCGCTGTCGAGTGGGCGTCATGTAATGCGGCTTGAAGTGTCATTTACACGCGCATTGTATTGCGGCAGCTGCCACAGCTGCCACTTTGTCGGCTTTCTGCTTTATTTTTGCAGTGTTTTTTCCATTTTTTTTTCATTTTTTCTGTTTGCGTTTTAAGTAGCTGTTAAGCATTTTCATTACACACGCCAAAATGCACAATGATTTATGCCAAGAGCCCGACTACTGTTATCACGTGCTCGTACCGCTGTCAGCGGATTAAATACTCATACTACATAAAGCTGCCATTGCCACCTCATCCACTTTCAGTGGGTACCCCACCCACTCCACCCACTGCACCTTACTCTCACCTCTCACTCTTCAGTTATAACTGTGACCAGGCCAGGCCAGGCCAGGCGCTTTGTGCGCACTTTATCATTAAAAACAATATACAAAAAATGGCATTTCATGCCTCATGCAAGCGATTCCTGGTTATGTGAGTGTTGCGCATTTTCAAGACCAGCCAACGGCAGACGGACATTGCGTATTGTTGCACACTGTTTGCTGCTGCCGTCAGTGGGGTTTCGCTTTTGTTTGCCGCTGCAGCTTTGTATGCAAATAAATGGGCGGTCTAGACGGGCACGCACAATGGCAGTTTTAATTTGAAAAGTGGCTGTTGCAGCAGCAGCAGCAGCAGCAGGAGCAAGAGTAGGAGAAGCAGCAGCAGGAGTAGGAGCAGCAAACACCAACAGCAACCACAGCGAGGAATGGGAGTGACTGCAAACCATTTTTATTTTTTTGTATTTTTTTTTTTTTAGAATTTTGCAACAACCGCAAAACCTTGTGCCAGAACGTGTCGACATTTGTGGCCTAAACAAAACCCCAGAGAAATAGTTGCAAAAATAAATAGATTAAAAGTGCACACACGAAATATATTTCGTGTTAGACAGTGTATTTCCTCAAATGCTGCTCGTATCGAGAAACAACAAAAAGAAAAATATGTTTTTTAATAACATTTAACTGGCTTTTAAATTTTGTTTTGCCAAAATCTGTGCAAATTGGAAATTTGATTTTTTTTTTTTTTAATTATGAGCACGTTTCGGGCCGCAACTGAAGAGCAATAA